ACTTCAGTCTCTGTGACTTTCTCAGACTGTAGTTTATAAATCACTTTTGTGGTACACTATCTAGAGGGGATCAAGACCCCTGGAAGCTTGAGTCATATTGAATTGCATTGTGTAACGGAGAGTCATTAGGAGTTTACAGTCAGGGGGAAAAAAGAAGTCTTATAAATAGGCTAATTCAACTGGCACTTATATGTTTTAAAGGCATTATTGAGGAAGCAGGATGGTAGTATTATTTGCTCCCAATTTTGCTCTCATCAGCAGCAGCTAAGGGTGGCTCTTGAATAGGACAGGAAAAGAGATTTTATAGACCTCCAGCTTTAAAACCTCTATTTTTTTTCTCCCCTTTATTATTTAAGCAAGTACTAAGGACTGTTTAGAGGTTTATTTAAATGGCTTCCATGCTGGAAGCTAATCCAGCCTATACTGGCTCAAATTGCCTCAGTTTCTCCTGAATAAGGACTGCTTTTCTCTTACTTCTACTGATTTTTTTTTAAAGGTATTAATTTAAGAAAAATATATTGTGAAGAACCGGGGCTTTCTGGCAGTGAAAGGATTTTCAGCAAGAGGTTTGTGCAGCTGCATTTTTCCAGTCTGATTCTGACAGTAAGGCTATTCCAGTAAAGCATCTCTCTTTTTTTTTTTTTTACCCTTTCTTTTAAAGTTAAAAAGAAGCATGACGATGTAACGAGAAGTCATTTATTTCATTTGGGTGTGTTTCACTTACGGATTTGTGACACAAAAGTGTCAACCCCTGGGTGTTGCCTTGCTGCAGGCTGGATCTTCTTGGCTCATGGAATACCTGGATATCCTCACGCCTACAGGTGTGGTAGAGGGAGAACAATGACCAGAAGCAGGTGCCTGGGCTCTCAGGAACTCCAGCTCACTGCCAACAAGCTCACTCCTAGCTGAAATTGCTGTTTTTTATTTAAAAAAATAAAAAAAAGACAATTCACAGCATTGTCTGCAGTTCCCAGCCCCGTGTCATCCACTTCCATGCCATCTGCATCACCGCCACGCTCAGCATGGTCAGGATTTTCTCAGAAAAACAAAGTGAACCCAGCCCAAGCCCTTGGCTGCAAACAAGGCAGGAGTCAGGAGTTGACAGGGTGCAGAGTTGAGCGGGCTGGCGTGGCCAGCACAGCTCTGGGATCCCACTGATGGGCTGGATCTGATGGGCAGCTCTGCCCCAGCACTTCCATCACCTGGGCTGGAATCCAGCCCAGTCCTGAGAGATGGAGGGTCAGCCCAGTTTGATAGTGTGAGGTCAGGAATGGAATGAGGCTGAGATGTCTCGACTGAGATTTGAGGGTGTATAAGTATAAATCAAAAAAAGCAAAATCCTTGAAGGGGCGCCTTGCAGCTGTCTTGGGAAATGAAAGGCTTTAAAACAAGGAGGCTCAAGAGCACGACAATCCTGCAGTCAGTGCAACTAATAAAGCTCTTTGGTCTCAACTCAGAGAACAGTGAAGTCCTCTCTGTTGTCTGGAAAAGTGGAGGGTGCGTGGCAAACCTGAGGGAGATGCTGCTCCTTAGCACAGCGAGCTGCCAGGATTATATGTGCACATAAATACAGACCACAGCTTTTATACTGCTGCTTCTCAATCAAACACGTTGAAAAGCTTATTCTAAAAAGGCTTTGTCAGCTGTAGGGACCCTTCTTCTGCGTCCTTGAAAATTCTCCATAGGCTCAAAGTTCACCACCAAAGTCATGGAAGGGGAAAAGAACGAGCTTTTTTATCCGCATCACTCCTGAACGCTGCTGTCTCATTTTTGCTGCAGGATACTCGTAATTTTATGCTTATTTAAACAGACACATATCTAGTTTATGGGCATATTCCAGAGGAAAAAAAAAAAAAAATCATGTAGCTTAGAGTGCAGTTCTCATGGGCAAACACCTGATCCCCTTTAATAAGAGATAAAAGGGAAACTATTCCCTTGCCAAGCTGCTGCATTACAGGGTTTTGCTGGCAGTAACAGGCTGGTAAGATGCACATCTGACTTGTGCATGGCACGGCCCGGGCTCAGCTTGCAGGTACAGGGGCTGTCAGCAGCTTGTGCTGCTGCCACCAAAACCCATGGCAGCAGAAGGGGAGTGCCCCAAAATTGGGGTGCAGGAGAGGTCTCAGAGTTCAGGATGTGCCCATCTGCTAATTAAACACAGGTCAAAGGGGGAGCTAACTGATGTCTCAGGCTGCATCAGCTGGGATCCTTACTCTTTTAAGAATTTAGGTGGTTTTATTTTTTTGTTTTTTTCCTGGAGTTCCCAATGGTTTGAATTTTTTATCATTATCAGTATTTCCTTAAGTGCTGAGTTCCCTGAGTAATTGCAATTGTGTACTAACTTATTTCCCCCCCTTTCCAAGGATATTTTAAGTCTGCATTCATGGATTTTCTCTGAAATGGTCCATGCTGGTGCTCTTTCATTCTCTGCATTGTCTGTTGTTAGTTGAAAGCTTTAGATCACCTTGTCTTGCCCAAAGAGATGGTCAGGGCAGTTCAGGAAAACAAATGGCTCAGCTGTGTAAAGTGATAAAAGCAGTGCAGGTTAAAATTCCTGATCAGTTTTGATAGGGACAGCCATAAGATGTCTCTTCACAAAATGTTAAAGCTTTGCACCTTTGTTTTTCACAGGTAACTCAGTGAGAGATGCTAAGGGCAGGTACCTGACAGCAGCTGGTGATCTGGGATAGCTGAGGATCCAAAACAGGAAAGGCAGGCTGATCTCTGTGTTCCCACTGCCCACCACCACTTGTGTGACAAGGAATGGTGCTGTAAACCCCTTTTTAAGGAGATGGAATATACAGAGATTGGTATTTGTTACGACTCGAATAAGAAAGGCAGTAGGCTCACTTTTCTGGTTTGGATTTGTGAATCTGATTTCACTTTTTGTCCGTGCTGGATGAAATTTTGCTTTTATTAAGTCTTTTTCAGAATACTCAAGGGCTGATCTCTGAGCAAAGCAACGTTTGGGATCTCAGATTTCAAAAAAAAAGCCGCTGCAGGTGAGTTCGGTGGTTCTGACATAACAAAATCCAAAAAAAGTCCTCTAGTTCACTTTAAAACAGAAAGAAAACATTGAAGATGTTGACTGAGTAACTTTTCAGGCAAACTTGTATCTTCAGTGAACCAGAAGGTATCTCTTATTCACAGCAGTATGGACACACCAGGAACTGGGTAAGAAACTGCATTTAGGAGGAGSTTCCACTGAGCAAACCCAACGTGCACTTAGTTCAGATAAGCCCTGGAGAGCCAACCAGTGAGACCTCAAAGTCCAGGGTAATTTTCTGATGTATCCCAGCCCAACTTCACTGCTCTCTTTTTATAAATCAAATGGAAAAAAAAAAAAAAAAAATGAGGCAAAACCATGAGGCACTCAGATGCCGCCCCAGAATAAGTGCAGAGTCTGCTTGGTGGTGTCTGGGTCTTGTCTGATTTCTGCTCACATGCCACTCAAGAAGTCCATGTAGGCTTTAATCTGACATTTAACCTGTGCAGAAGCATCTCTGCTCTTTAAAAGAAGATGTTATTCAAGTGTATTTCATTTTTAGTGATGGTGGAATCGAAATATTTCTCAAATTCCTTTCTTTTAAATGTCCTGTCTGTGCAATCTCACTAAAAGAACAATAGAGTTAAATGCCTAACCTGGAGAAACTGGTAAAACACTTGCATCTAAAGCTTTATATGATGCTTTTTATGGAATTATTGAGTGAAAAGGAAGGAAAATATTGTGGAGGTGTAGCTCATAAATTTCTTCTAATTTTTCTGGCAGCCATGGAGCACAGAGGGCTCCTCTATGGAGAATGTGTTTTCCCACCAGGGAGGCAAAGGGGACCTTTACAAGTTATTTCAGCAAACTGCTTAAAATAAATGGATAAAATACTGAGTCCAAAGCTGTGGTAGCAAGAAGGAATTCTGTCTGTGAGAGGATGGAGTAAGCAGGTGTCCTCTCTTTGCCCATTTTGCTCTTCCCTGGGTTCTCCACCTTCTTTTAGGATTTCATTGATGCTTTTGCAGCATTTCAGATTTCTGTGGTTTGAACCCGTTATAGTTTTGGTGGTGTCTGACAGCTCCTCCCTTTCCAAACAAGAACAAAAAAAATGCAAACACTCAGAGAAGCTAATGGTATTGAAAATCTGCTGAAAGCAGGGTGAGAGCGAGAGGAGAAGAGAGGATTAAGGAAAAGCCCTACTGGAACCCATCCTTTTGTTTTATGGCCGATGCAGCCTTTCCTCGACACACCAGCAAGAAACAAAGAATTGGAACCAAACGGAAGGGTCAGCGAGGAGGAGAGGATTGTCTGCAGCACCTCAACAAAGGCAGCAATGGCTTTTCCCTCTCCCCCACCACTCCCTCTCCGTTCCCCCTCGTCACACGATCCTACTTGGGAACATGTTATCAAGGACTGAGAATCAGGCCAGCGGCTGCTGATGTTAAAAGGACATGACATGTGCACAAGGCAGGGCATAGGGGCTGGCTGCACATGTTAAAGGCAAACACATCACAATCCAATTAGTAGAAATGGAGTGGGTGCGCTGGCTCTGGGAATTTTATTTTTTTTTTTTTTAAAGTAATACTTCTGCGCTTTTTCTATTGATTGGTTTTTTATTTTTGAAAGGAGTAATTCCCTTCTAGCTTCCCTTCCTCCTCTCCTCCCTCCTTCTCCCCACCTTCAATGCCTTCACCCCTGAGTTTTCACCTCACCAGAGGAACACGAGTTCAAAGGCAATTGGAGTAGAAATAAAAATAAAAACAAAATATTGCAAATGCGAAGCGTTCTCTGATCTCTTTTTGACCTTCCTGTGCAAAGGGCAATTTGTGCAAATCTACTGCAAACTCGTAAATCTTCAGTACTGGAAGGGATAAAAGCAATATATATTTCATTATTATTTCCTATATTTCATTAGAATTTAAACTGACTAGCTAAATGTGTGTCTATGCATGTATAGAGATTTCTCTTTGCTATATTTTTAAAATTGTTTTAAGTATGTCTCATCTTCCTTAACAGGTTACCTAGCCACCAGAATTTTTTATTAATTTATTGGAATGCATTTCCTGTAGTTTTCATTCACTATTTAAGAAAAAATGAAGGGAAAAAATTCCTAAAGGAAGAACAGGTTTTAAAATTCTGATACCTGAAAAGAACATGATTTTCATTACATTGGGCATGTTTTATTGAATGCAGAATTAAGGATACAGTCAGGATTCAATATCTGCTATGATGCATTCAGGTTCTGATACAATACTTTGCTATTGGGCGGTAATCTCCCTGCTTGTTTAGCTCCTAGTCCAGTTGAATAATTAAACTCATGTAAATTTGAGATTGTGCACAGTACCACTGAGAATAAGGGAGTTTCTTGTCTGCCTAAAGTACATTTCATTGTAAGTAGTTTGTTGGTTGAGAACCAAACTTTTATCTCAAGTCATTCTGCTCAAAGGTGTCCTTGCTCAGCAAATCTCTTTAAAATGTGCTCGGTTTTAAGCCCAAGTCCTGCTCTTAGGAGTGATTTTGGTAAGATGTGTGGTCATGAGGATGGTCTAAGGAAAAGGTCAAACAGCAGAGAAATCAGACAGGCTTTTCTTTGCATTCATGGTGGCAAATACACAGAATTGAGCGAGAGGAAAACAAAACCACGGGGAAAAGGAGAAGTTCAAATGAGGTAGGTGGACCTGCATGGGCATTCTCGCTTCCTTCCTTCCCACAGCTTCCTCTGTTCCTATAATCTCAGCACAGATGTTTCCTTTTTAATCCCTGGCTCCAGCTGGCAGAGCATCTCTGCTCTACCGTACTTAGTCGCAATTACTGCAGACATTAACTCTGCACATGCTTCGGAAATTGACTGCTTTTTCTTCCTTGGAAATGTTGCTCATCATCAGGTTTTTAACAGCCAGAAATAAAGGCCATTTGTGTAATGATGAATCCGATTCCCTTCAAGATTTGTAAGAGAGATAAAAGGCACAAGAAGCAGGCTTAAAACAATTGCTGGCATGGTGGAAAATTTGGATGTTGAATTTATAATACCTTGCTTCTCTAGTACAGAGAGTCTTCATCATGTGATAGAAAAGGAATGGGAAAGATGTCAAGCAGATGCCATATTCACCTGCCTGATGCTACTTTTCCAAATTAATCACAAGTGCTTGATTTATTTTGATTAGCAAAGCAGACACTCGGTACTCTAAGCGTGGGCTGTGTCTTCTTGTAGGTGAACTTCCATTTATTCATGGAGTAGGGGTTGATCAGAGTGTCAAAGCTGCAAAACCCTAAAGCCAGACCCACTCTTTTCCTTGCACCCAGGCACGAGGCTGGGTCATCCTTTTGTGGTGTGATGCTGCTGAAGTGCCACCAGAGTCTGATGTGACCCAGGCCAGATTTTAGTAGAAAAAAAAATCTTGGCCTGGGCTTGAACAACACGAAATCCTCCAGCTGCTGGATTCAGTGGTCCCAATTTACCCTGATTGTCCTGATTGTGTATTTTTTTTCTGTATTCAGCAACTTTCCTTTGGATGTAAAAGCAATCTGAGACAGCCACAGTGCCAGGGAAGGTGGGATGGATGGACAGAGGGGCAGTGAAGAACCTGGAACCCTCACCCATCAGGTAAGGTGGTTGATTTGCGTTGGTGAAAACCCCTAAATAATCTAATCAGAGTATACAAAATACATTTACAATTACCAGGAAACCCTTCAATTGTTCTGTTTGCTGTCTTTTTCTGCATGATGCTCATGGATTCAGCTTTTCTGCTCTTGAGGACTCTTGATTTATTGCACGAAAACCCCTTAATGAAGTCACTGCACTGCTCCCTTTGCTCTCCTCATTCCCCTGCAGCATTTGCTGAAATCTCTGGATGAATTCCCACTGCTTTCACCCCGTTCCTGTGGAGGAGGAGGATGGATGGCACGTCCAGCCTTCAGCTGGCTGCTGATATGACACGTACAGCTTCAGACATTTGTGTGAGCACCCAGAATAACTGGATGAAGTTGGCCACAACTGAGGTCATCTTGCCTATAAACCACCCAACCACTGCCCTGCAGGTAAGAAACTGGAACCCTGTGCTTATCTCTGCCAGTCAATGTTCTTAAACAAGCAGACCATTGCAGATCACAAAGATGTGCTGCTACAGACACAAAAAACCTTCCAAAGGCCCTGGAGAGCTTTCAGCCTGGATTCCTACTGCCTCTCAATCAGTAAGAAACATGGCATTGGTTTGACAATGGAAGTTCTAGGGCTGAAATGAGAAAGTTCTGGCAAATGGTAACAGCTCTGTATGCTCCTATGGAAAACTTGCACAGATGTGTGTACGGTTTTCCCAGGAATGGCCTGTAAAATCCAGATTATTGTATAAAAAGGAGAGGTTTATTCACACTGCATTGCCTAATACTCTCTGCAGCCTTAGTATTGTTATGGTCCATTGAAAGGGCACAATGCTGGAGTATTTTGGCTTTCTATTGAGTACATTCACTGATGGGGAGCAAGAAAGGAGAATGAGAAGAAGAAAACAAAACTGAAAGTGCTTGAGGACAATTCAACTTTGAAATTGTTTTCGTTAAATACAGGGAAAGTGCAAAATGAGCCCTCTTTGAAACTTGTTGGATAAAAGCTCTTATGAAAGCTTTCAGTATTTTTTTTTTCTGCTTTGGCTCCTCTTGCACTCTTCTAGGCTGGATGAAGTGTGTATGAAGGCATCACTGACATCAGCTATTGGAAAGTAAAGAAAACAGTAAGTGCAGCTTGGTTATTTCAGAGAAACTGTGCAAAAATCTACAGTATAAGTAAAGTAGGAAGAAAAGAGAAAGTTAATGATTTTTTTTTTTAGCTCTGTGACTTCTCTTTGATCATATTTCATGCAGCATGCACAATAATTCCACAAATAGTTTGATATCTATGAGAGGGGGAAAAAAAAAGATGGGGGCTTTTGCTTTGAGGGAGTGCTCTGCAGGAAGAACTTGTTTAAAAAAATAACCCACACATCCAAAACAAAGCCCTGCAGAGCTGTAGAAGTCACTTAGAAGAACTAAGAAAACTCCAGTGAGGTTAGATTCAATAAGACTTCTAGATTGCAATATTTAAAATTGGAAACCAGTTCCAGGTGACTCACAAAATAGTTGGGCTTGTGAGAACGAACATCAGCAAAAAACTGTAGCAATAGTCATATTCCTTGGAGGATGAAGGCACTTCAAAGCAATCTCTCCTCACCCTCCCAATTCTTCTAATTTAAACCATAGCAATGACCATTACAGTTATTTTTCTCTGTTAATGAAATTCTGCAAGCTTTTTGGCTTGAGCTTTTATTGCCTGATCTTTAGTAGGTAGCTTAAAAATGATTAAAAAGAGCTGATCTTCACTTACTTATTTCTTAATAAATACATTATGCTTCTTGCAGCGTGTTTGTCGCACATAAAATCAGCTAGGAAAAGGCTCTCAGCAACTGTGTGCAGCTAGTTAGATTCATAAAAAGTGTTCTCCAGCTTCTTTGAACTAATTTCCAGGATCTCCCAAGCCTGTTTGGTCTCTCAGCACCAGAGGATGTCGAGCAGTGGAGTTTGGAGCAGGGGTTCAGTGCAGACTCTTGATGTGCTCTCTCTCTAATGAGAGCTGGCTACTGTGGCAGAGTTGAACGAGAATTCAGTTGTGCTGGGAGCTAATGGGATTTATTTTTATTGCTGGGACGTGGGTGAACCTTGGAGTCCACTTTGGCTCCCAAGCCGTGTCAACCAGTCCTCCATGGTCCCTCTGCCTTTCCCAGCCCTTCCCCAGGATGGTTTTGCCTCCAGTCAATAATTCATCCATCACCTTGTGAGCTGCTCCAAGGAGGGCAATGGCTGATTCTGGGCCTCATTTCTGTGCCACACATATTTGAGGGATGATTTGTTTTTTGCTTCCTCTACTACGGCCCAAACCTCCAACAGTTTGGGCTCAAGTTTTGTTATTTTTATCTGACCTTGCGTAGCACACACCACAGTGCAGACTGTGGGGGTGACTGGGAGATAAAAGCACATTTCTAATCCAAACAGATACACAAATATAGCCTCAGCCTACGTTTCCCTCTTCCCAGCTGCCTTATGAGGAAGAGGAGCTGGCTCAGAGAAGAGATCCTCCCTAAATCAGAAAGGCTGGTGTAAGCAACAGGGGAAATGGAAAATAAAGCCTATTTTTTTTTCTTTCTGTTTTTGAGATATTTATGAGAAGGCAAAAACCTCTTTGTATCAGCTCATAATTCCAAATAATTCTCACATAATTTTGGTGGGTGGTTCTGGATGTTGGCTACTTGGTTCAGTTTGGAACGAGGGACCCGGTGATTTGGTTTTGTTGCCTAAATCAACTTGATGTTTAGATTCATGTTTCTTGAACTGATAGTTTTGTTATGAATTTAAGCTGGCTTCTCACAAACACTCCTAAATAATTGATATGTTTTCCTAGGGAAACAGCCAACTTGCATGTCTCAAAGTATTTGCAAGCCCCAAATTTATATTAAGATCTGAATTGGAATCGACATTTCCCCACACAGTGTTTGTCCGTCTCCATTGTGTTTATAGGCAGAGGTTATGTTTTTGGCAAGTTGACATTTAATATTTTTTTTTCTGTAGTTCACTCCAAAAGGAACGAAAATTGGCTCAGATTATGAATTCAAATGGAGTTTTTCCAAGTGCCTATATTATAAGTTCCCTTTCACCATCTGAAAACTGAGCTAATGCTCCTTTTAGTACTGCTAAACTCTCATGATTACAAAGCTGGTAAATATTTTTCATGAAGTTACACTCGTCAATCCCATGTTATCGCTAAATGGAGTTTAGAAGTGAGGAAAAGGAGAGCCAAGAGACAACCTGAAATGTATTTGTCCCAAAGGAGCATGAAAAATATGTACCAATGTGTCTTCTCACCTACTAAGACAATGTAAAAATGAAATTTTAATGTAAACCAAACAGTACAAAACTGGTGGCTCTATGCCAGCCAGCAAACTAACTCCAGAACCACTTAAAATCAGACTTCCCCCTGGCACAAGAGAATTCTGCTGCCCCACAGCCCCTTACTCAAAACTGTAGGGAGGAAAATGAAAAAAAGAAAAAAGGGGAAAATAAAAAGAAAAGGAAAAGCCTTTAAGGTCAGCTAGTCCAGGCATGCTGCTGACAATGTTTTCACATCCATGAGTGCTTTGTCCACTCTACTTCACCTCCATCACTGGGGCTTCCATTCACTCTCAGGAGAGATCATTCCATTTATTTGTTATGAGTTGACCGTATGGATTTTTTTTTAAGTTTTGTTTTTATTTTCATTGACAAACCAAGCAGTAAAGATTGGGTTGCCAGGCCCAAACTTCTCCACAGTACAGTTTGGGTTTTTTTTTTTTTTTTTCATTTGCTGAGAATGGGAAAAAGCTTTCAAAGTAGAATCACCTCCCCCTTGCTGCTCACCATCACGAAACCCTGACTACAGAAGCATCTCATTCATCCCCTGAAGTGTAATCTCTTGAGAACTCAGAAATACTCCATAACCTGAAAACACTCTTTGTTTTGAAGGATGAGAAATAATGGACTGCTTCCACAGTAGGTAAAAGGCAGGGTTTTGTCTTGAATTAGTGTCAGCTTTTACTAGGACATGGGGTTTTATATGTATTTCTGAGCTAGACACGTGTTGTGATCCTGTGTTATGTTCTCTGCTGCTTCAGCTCTGCCACTAAGCAGAGTCTGTTTGTTTTGGGGTCCACTTTGCAGCATCAGAGAGTTTTGAGCCTGATTCTGGTTTTGTTTTTTTTTTTTTTACACCACTGCTCTGAATCAGTTGCTCTCAGCGAGATGATGGATATCAGCACGAAGCAGAGGTGGGTTAGTTGGACCCCATGCACTTTGCACTTCAGGAAGGAATCAAATTTGGCCTCCCAACTTTCACCTTTGGTTATAGGCAAGCAGCATGGAGCTTTTCAAAGGAAAGCAGTTGCAGGGAGGCTTTGTGGGGGACAAAATGCAGCCCGGCTGTGCTCTGCCTGTGAATTTGCAGGCTGCTGTGCTAGGCATCCAGCTCTTTGTACTAACAGGAGTGCTAATATGATGTATTAAATGTCACACCAGCATCGCTGGGTATGCATATCTCTCCTGTTGTACTGCCTGTTTATGCTTATTCAGCTCTTTGAATAATTTAACACATTTCATACTCCAAATTACCCACAACAGTTTGACGGGGCTGCTGGCAGTTTACTTGAAACACTCAGTGTTAGGTCAAAGCAGGGCCCAAGCATCTGCTAAATAGAAGGACATTTCATACTTAGCAAGGCATAATTAGATGTATTCCTGCACACTTTTCTTTAAAAAAATAGGTAAATCCGTGCTGATCCCGGTGATACCATGGAAATAGGGGCTGTACTGAATGCTGCCATGAACAGCCCAACACCAGGAATGATTGGGGCTGAAGAGAAATCATTCTGGAGACCAGCAGTTTTTGTGGGCCAAGCAAGATGAAACCAAGCAGGATAGCACAGCTGTGTCAGGGTGCCAGTCACGCTGTTTCAGAGCAGAGGTGTTGATTTCCTTGGTGGAGTTAGGCTGGAATCAGGGATTGGGGCAGCTTCATCCAAGCAGTGCAATACTCTTCATGCATTTATCCAAAATTTGACTGAGAGCAGCAATCCACTGGCTGGGTAATGAACCTGGAGCACATGGAGCAAACAGACAGGGCCCTGCACTCATCCACACCCTGTGCTGCTGGAACCAGAGGTGCCCATCGTGGGTGTACACTGTGAATTCTCCCTCTCTGTCCTTAATTAGCTCAGGCTCTGGCACCGAGAACATTTCAGCTGGATGGGTACAGAAGAGATTTGGGAGTAAAGAAAGCGGGACATGGTTCTTGGCTGGACAGCTGGGGCTGGGAATCCTGCTCAGATTAAAGCAAGTGGTCTCCCATAAATGCTGCTGTGGTGTGGATTAAATTAGGAAGGAGACACAGAGCTGAGGGAGACAAAGTGCCTGGAGCTTCATAGATGTGCCTTTCTGGGTCTGGGGTGTGTTCAGCCACTAGGGCTGTCATCCCTTTGTGTTTTCATTGTGAGGAGGATGCAGAAGCAGCATTTCTTTGGTGGGGTGAAGCTGTGTGATGTGTGATGTCCACACTGGAGTTTTTTAACTTGACAGGGGCAGCCCAGCAGTAGATGAGTGGACTTGTCATGGTGCTGCTCAGAATAGTTTTGGCAGGAGGTTGGGAACTGCTGGATGCCTGTGGCTCTGAGCCATGGGGCACTGATCTCCCCCAGGGCCACCCAAAGCTCCATCAGCGCCTCTCCTCACTCCCCTGCTCACACAGAAACCAGAGGAGGGACAGCATGGCGAAAAAAAGAGTGTTTTCAGTTAAGACTTTCAAAACCTCATCCCTCAGAGTGCATCAGGTGGGAGGAATCTCTGCGCAGCCCAGCAGCTCACCCAGGGCCCCACAAAGTGATGATGCAGGGCACAGGCAGAGGAGATATTTGCCAAGTGACAGCAGGGCTCTGATTGAGTGAACCTCCCAGGTCCAAAGCCCCGTGCTGCTCGGGAGGATATGCTGAAAATCTTTCTCAGGGATTTGCACATCCTTACAACAACTAAGGGTCTGTAATGAAATGTTTGCTTATCATCCATTTAACCTGCTTCGGAGCAGGCTGAACCTGCATGGTAACCCCGGGTCAAAACTATTTTGGATAGCTGAAACTCATGATAAACACATGCTTTTGAAGGTTAGAAAGCCATCAGTGGGAGACATCAGATTCGCTTCTTTATTATTAGAAGGGGAGAAAATCCAGGAGTGTTCGGAGCAGCAAGTTTTGTATAAAACATGAAAAGCAGATGGGGGGAGGTGGCAGAAGGAAGGAGGAATCTTTTTTGATACCAAACAACATTGCTTCTGCAGCAAATCCTTTTTTCCTTGTAATTTAAGATTGTGCTTGAAATAAGGAGCCAGCTGCACCCGGGGGGAGCAGAGGGCAGCCTGTCCTTTTGGGTGCTTGATTGGCTCTTTGCTGTGTACCTGATAATTACTGGGGCTGCCAGGAATCCACTTGTGCTGCTTGAACAGCGTCGTGTCCACAGCAGCCCTGTTGGGTCTGAGATCCCCAAAAGTGGGAGAGAAGATTGGCACAGAGCACAAGCCTTTACTGATAAGTGAATTATGACTTTGCCTAAACTTCAGTCCAGCTGGATCTGCTAATGCTCTGCGCCCACCGAGGGGCTTTCAGCTGCGTTAAGCAAGCTAGATTAAGGCATTTCACTTAGAAAATGCATCTTTATTTCTCAGGTGCACACAGAAATCCTGCTGCTCTCTCTGTGGGATGGGAGGAATCCCAAAGCATGATCCTGAGTGCAGTCTTGTGGATGTTGCTTTTAACATCATCATCATCATCATCCAAGTGCTGTACTGGTCAGGGGGGATGGGAGGAGATGGGGACATGGGGCGAGATGGGGAGATGTTGGGGTCTCTCTTCACACCCTCCTGCTCCCAGCCACATCTGCCTGCCTGAGCACTGCCTAGGGAAGCCAGAAACACTCTCACTGCTTTTTCAGACAAATCTCCATCCACGTGTGCACGTGTGCCTGCACAAACACACACACAGAAGAAAAAGGCACAGATCCATCCCTCAGAATCACATTCCTTTGAAGCCACCTGTCTCTCAACAGTTTTCTGTATAATGAGCAGAGCTCTGCACTGTAACTTTTCCCTTTGTCCCCAGTGCCAGTTGTACAATTCCCAACCCAACAAACATTGCACCCTTGCAGAACTCCTGCTCAGCCCCACAGTGCTGTTGTACCAGGTTTTTTTTTGCCATAGCAGCCGCCTACAGGAATGATCAGCAAAGCAACAGCAAACAAGGATTCTTCCACTGGGAGGACTCTGAGTTTCCTCTCTTCCCAGGACCTCCACGCTAAGTGGGCTCAGTTTCCAAGTGAAAAGATCCTGTTTTTCCTCATTTCCCCTAATGGTCAGAGATGGCAAACTCCCTCTGGGATCTGTGCATTCAGCTTTGTTCCTTCTCCCTCCCCTGCTGTCGCCAGTAATTAAAACTGAGCGAAAAAACCGAACATGCTATTTTTTGAATAGATATTTGAAATTTAAAGTGGAAAAAAAAAAGTTGTGAAACTTGTCAGATCMATGATTTGACACATATTATTTAGCTGGCTCTAAATATTCTGGAGTGAGAACTTAGTTAACAACTTGTTAACAAAGCATAATTCGGAATAAAACCCAGCTCTCTCTTTGCTAGCTACATTTGCAATATGGAGCTGGTTCTAATAACTCTGTCTCTTAAATACCAATGTATTTCTCCTGCAGTTTCTTGGAGTTTTTGCCACTGTGGTGCACAGAACTGTGATGGAAACAAAATACAGAGGCAGCATCCACCAAATCTTGGATGTCAAGGTAGTGCTGAGCACCTTGATGTGAGTAACTTGTCTGAGTCAATGCAGGACACTGGTGCTGGGGAGCTCTGGCCTGTCAGCACTTAAAAAAATGGGTTAATCCTTTTAATTAGCCACTTGAGGATGAATGACAGATGAAGAGCAATTTCTGTGAGGAGAAACATAAATACAGGTAATTTTTCTAAGGCCTGTGTTGTAGTTTACTCTCTCTGGCCATGTTACTATGTCTTGCTCTATCTTTGGGTTTCTTTTAAAGACTACTTTTTAATGAGGGATAAACAGGCCTGTTTTCCCCCTGAAGTGCATCCCTTACACCCTCACACCTGTAAACAATGGATTTTTCCACATGAAATGAAAGGGCAACCACATCCTGCTACCAGTTTTGACTCTATAGAGTGGTGTAGCATATAATCTCCATTACTTTTCCTGTGATTTGTAAGTGACTGTTGCTAGGTAATGCCTTTTCCACTAAGCATCAGTGAGCTAATGTGAGGGCTTCGAGAATGTTTCATTATGTAATTAAGGCTTTGGTGGTGCTGATTTCTACTTTACAAAAGTCTCGTATCTTTTTCACGGGAGCAAAGAAAGTTTTTATGGCATTACACATAAGGACACAAAAAGCATCCTTGAAGCCAGACTAATATTTTACTAATGTGATTGATTTTTTGTTTTTAATTATTTGTTACACACAGCTATCAGCCACCCATCACAATGGCATCTAGCTAGGCTGTATGTTGTTTGGGTGGAAAACATGACAAATGCATGGAACACATGACCCGTTGGAAGTATCACTGGATCCCAAATATCTCTCTGGACTCCATAATCCATTAAACAAATGTGGTCCCTTTGTTCTGACATCTGGACACTTAGTCTAACAGTGACCTTTGCTTCCCAGGGACAGGACTGGGATGCAGAAGAGCTTCTTCAAGAGGATGTGACTGTTTTGACTGAACATTAGAGAGGAAATTTCCCCAGGATCTTCAGACACGTGAGCCTCGAGGTACTGTGAGTTCTGTTTCAAGGAGGAGATGAAGAAAGGGGTGGAGGACATGTAAGTGAGAAGATAACACAAAACAAAAACAAAGCACAGAATATGACGGTAAGAGTTTTTATTTTCGCGAGCTTCACGCTAAATATCAAGATCAGTAACTGCCATTGGAGGGGGAACGTTTGGCCATCACAATGCACAGGACTGTGATGCACAAAGCAACCCTGATGCAAATTTACTTAGCATCAAGGATCCCTAGCAAAAAAAAAAAAACAAAAAAAAAAAAAAAAAAAAAAAAAAAAAAAAAAAAAAAAAAGGAAGCAAGAAAAAAAACTTTACAAGGCAGCTTTGATCGGCCCTGGCACTGCGTGTGAAAGTCTAGCTCAGTTCTAAGACTGCCAGGGTAAGTGAAAGAAGAGCCTTTGTAATTTTTGTCTTACAATTATGTCACTCAGCCCCGTCGCCTCCATTCTCCCCATGCAATTTGTAAGGGACGACAAGTCATTCAAAGCACCTCTGTTTACAGAGAGCCCCGGTAACACAACACCAGGGCCGGGCAGATTCCGTGAACCGCAGACCCCGCGCTGACAGACGGGATTGTTTGATGGGCGCCGTGGGTGAGGCTGGAGGGGAAGAGCGGCAGCAGAACGGGACACGGGTTTTTCTGAGCTCGGAGGTCATGTCAGCAGCCAGAGCAGCATTCAGGGTTTTTCTATTGCGCTGTTATCTCGGTGCTGGCGATGAAGTTTTAATTGGGAAGGGTGAGCGTGATTCTGCTCTCCTCCCACGCAGCTCTACAGATGCTGCTGCTTCCAGGGGTAGGATTTTGGGGTCTGCTCGCTCCCCACCAGCAGAGAGGAGAAATGATGAGGTGGGGATTGCTGCACTGGTGAGGAGTGTCTCCTGCAGATAGTGCTGATCTGATGAGGAAACCAAAATGATATGTCTGGAGGTACAAATGCCTTGCACACAATGGATGTGGCACAGACAGCAGCATAAGTCTCCCCTCCGCACTGATAATACAGCTTAACCCAATCCAATCTATTCCTGTGTCATGGAAAGTTTTAGGATTCTCTGCTGGAGACATCTACTATCACGTTGGTGATAAAATGCATTTCATTTCCATACTGTAATTAAAAACTCCAGCAAAAAGCAGCCCACTAGAAAACGAGGAAAAACCCCCGTGATCTATTGCCTGAAAGCCACTCAATAGCAATTAGCAAATATCAGTTTTCCTCTTGCTGTATGGGCTTCCTGATACTGCAAATCTAGTTTGCAAAAAAATAGTTTGGCTATTGGAAAGCTAACAAATATTTATCAGGTGCCTCAAAGCATCTGGGACCCTGGTTATAGGATCCCTCGTATTTGAGGGCCGAAAAAACAAAGAGCAAGAGAAGAGTCCCCATCTAACACTCTCACAAAGTAACTAGGAGACAATTGGCAACAGATGAATACCCAGAGAGGCAGAGGCCACGCTGGGAATGATTATAGCAGAACTGTCAGCATGAAAGGCAGGGCTCATGAAATACCTTTAATCACTGGCGATTATTCTTTTCCTGGGAAATCATCTCTTCCCCACCCCTGCAATATCTGGCAGGATCTGGCAGGATGCATCCTAAGGTGCTGTGCTCTGGCAGGAGACCACCCTCCATCCTTGTCTCCATCAGGTGAGAGACGAGAGATTTTCAAACCTGTTACGAGTCAGATGGAAGCAAGGGATAGATCCCCAGGATCCTGGCCCTGGGTTTCTCACCCTGAAGCAGCAGACAACGCTGTCATTCAGAACAGCAAGTTCCCATTCGCAGTTATTTGTCATGTTAATTACTACAGACAAATTTCTCCTTCATCTCAATCGTGCAGGTCAAAGCGGAAAAGTTTAGCACTTCAGAACATCAAACTTTGCTTTCATCTGAGTGCGGGACATCATTCTGAAATTCCTTTTGATCATGAAGGAGGAAAAAAAAAAAAGAAAGGAAGACAATTTGAAAGTTTGCTCTTGACAGGAGTTGTAATTTCTTTGTTAAAATCAAGGGAAAAGGAGTCTCTCTTGTCTAGAGCTGGTTGTGTTCATAAACTCAACAGAGCAGGAAACCCATGAGCAAGAGCCACGCACAAATATTGACAAATATTGTCATTTCCTTCCGTATCAGTGCAGGATCCTCATGGTATCATTCCCACTTCATTAATTTCACTCCGAGCTGTCAGCTCTGCCAGATCCCTGTGTGCTGTGCAGGAAATCACCCCTGGCTCAAGCCCCACCACTTCTCCCAAAAAGTGGCTGCATGTCACGCCTGCGGCTCGCTGCACAGCGCACCTACGCGCTCCCACGTCAGCTGCAATCTCTGTCGTGCTCACGCCAACATTCCGCCACTATCTGGCATTTCACGAGCTCGGTGTTTATTGCACAAAGCTGCAAAACCCTAACGAGGTTTATCAGCTTTTACAAAGCATCTCTGTCCAGTGGGGTGTGATGTGCTGGGTGTAATTTCCGAGCGAACCAGGTAGAGGGGGGCTTCAAAGGAATGTTTCGTATCGCTTTAAATTAATCAAGAAATCGAATGTCTGCAAAGCCTCTGAGTTCCTGCAGGTGAGGTGGGCACCCAGAGCAGCCTTTCAGTCAAATAAAATCTTCTCATTGTTACTGATGTGGCGATTATGGCCCTGGAAGGAGCGGTGGTGTGGTGAGGGGAGAGGGACTCACACAGGGTGTCTGGGGGCACATCAGGTCAGCCAGCCTCAGTTTACCTGCTGTCGAGGCAGAAATCACCACAGGCACTGAATTTATTTCAGAAAGCGCAATTAACCGTGCGAGTTATAAACATTTTCCTCTGAAATTTTGAAAGATTGTGGTATTGGCATGAGGAATATTGGTAACCTGCTTCGCTGCCAGACCAGCCCTTGTATCTAGGACTAAAGCAGGCACCAAAAAGCTTGAAAAGAGACTTGCAGTATGTGTATTTCTGAGTATCTGCATGCCCCTGGGTATGTAGCACCCCACCACTACCCCTTTCCTGCTCATCAGGCACAAGTGTGACACACTGATGTGGGTGGAATTTGATTGAGAAATGAGCTAGTGTTTGTATTGTCATCACAGAGCTCTCTGAAAGCATGAAGTCGGGCTGAAAGAATCAGAATGTTTAAAATGAATGCTATTTTTTCCTTTTCTTCTGTGTTTTTTCGTTCTTCAGTCTGCATTCACGTCACTTGTGTAAGGTGGTGTTGGGATATTCTTTTATAACAAGACCTCACAAATTCTTGTTCTCTCTTTCATTTAATTCCATGATATTGAGAGTCAGGCTGATAATTTTAATGTCTTCAGGTAATTCCTTAACTACTGTGTAGTTTTATAGTTCCATTGACTCCAGCTGAGATGTTACGCTATGCACCAACCCACTCTGTGTCCCCCGATACCTGGAATTTATAAGAATAAAACCAGCCAAAGTTTGTGTGAGGAGCCCAGCAAGGTATCCCCTGCCAGGGAAACATTTGAAATGGCTGGAGAACAGGATGGGAGATCTTACAGATTTATAGAAGGAAAAATGATTAATTAATTGTATTTAAAAAATTCAACGCTTTTTTAGTTCTCCTTTTCAATGCACAGCTGTGAACGCATCCCCTCGTGCCAGTAAGTGCCTCAGAGACATCAGGGTGTCCATTTAAGCCACTCTTTGCACCTATAAACCACGGTAAATTTTTCCATTCTTTTTTTTTTTTTAACCTCCAGGACCATTTTTGCTGAGTTTTTTTACAGCCAGTGAGTTCCAAGTGCTTCTGACTTGGATCACAGAAGTGAGTTTCCTGCCTCCGTGAGTGACTCATGTTCTAACCTCGGTCAGGCCGCTTCCGTGGTGTTGTTGTTCTCTGTTTCTTGGTCTTTAAAATGCATATTTTGTTCCCCTCACAATTCTGACATTGTAACATCTTTCTGGCTCTAGCAACAGTCTGTATCATTTTAGATATACATTATCTCGTACAAAAATACCCGCCCACATCTCATACCCTGAAAAATCACAGTAGCCAAAACTCCAAATTTAGAGTGAAAAATGTAGAGCTGTGCAGACAAGAGGACATTTTTTTTTTTTTTTCCAAATGCGAGCCGATAGCCTTTTCCTCTCTAAATAGTTTGGGCTATCAGAAATTTTGAGTATTTAAATTTACAACTGAGGCTCCTGCTGGGAGCTCCTGGATTGCTGGACCACCCAGCAGGCAGAGTTGTACTTCAGGGGTGATTTTGCTTTGCCAGGGGTGAGGATGGATTTCCAAGAGCTGGATACTGATGTTCTTTCCCTCTTGGTCCTGTCCCATCCCCTACATCCCCCCTTCCTTCTCCCCACAGCAGGATTTCACTTGATGTTGCCTCACCTCCAAAAACTGAGGAAGAAGTGGCAGCAAAACCAGAAAAAAACAATTTTCCTGCTGCATTTTATCCTGGCTATCCAAACATTTCTAGCAGCTAAAAACCAGCAGCCACCAGGAGATCCCTTCTCTGGACCTGTAATCCTGGGCTGGGAAAAACCCTGTTCAGATGCAGACATCAGTGGATCGTTGTGCAGTCATCAGTGGGTCTTTCTGCCATCCTGTTCATCCCCTCTCCCTTCCCACCTCTCACCTTCCAAAGCAGGTTTACATCAAAAGTAATCCCACCTTTTTTGTTTGTTTGGTTGTTTGTTTTTGTTGTTGTTGGTTTTTTTGTTTCATTTTTTTTTGTTGTTAATCTTAAAGGTTTTTGAGAGACCTGCGAGGAGAGAATCAGTTAAGGAAAAACCGAGTAAAATCCAGTTTTGCTGCATTTTGAGAGGAAATGAACTGGTGTGTTTTGAAGCGTTCCCACAAGGCTCAGATTTTAGAGCACGATGAATCACTCTCTGAGATGCCTGCTCCTTCTCCTCTGCCTGTACCAGGTGCCCAGGCAGGGCTGTGGGCTTGGTGAGGGTCCAGCCGTGCTCCTGGCAGGCAGGACCTGGTGTTTCCCAAGGATGAGTCCATCCAGACCTCTCCTGACATGTCCAGCAGGGTTGCCCTCACCCTCTTTGGCCACTTCAAACCCCTCCAGCCTATCTATGGAACACTCTGTGGACATCCAGTAAAAGTTATCCCCCTTTATAAAGGTTAAATGAAACCAATTCATGGCAAATAGAGATCATTCTTGTTTACCAAAGCATCTTCACCCTGAGCTGCCATCATCCTGATCCTCTGCACTGTGGTGGCATCAAAGGGCACCTGGCATTTTCTGGGGCTTGGATATTCCATGGCTCACTATGAGGAGCAGAGAATGGAGCTGAAGGTCCCTCACAGAGAAAACCCTGGCTCTGGATCCACGAATAAACCCCCTTTATCCAGCTTGCTGACGTCTGTGCTGTCTCAAGCCTGGGCACAGACCTGAGCTGGCACAGGAGGAATAGTCTGGAAGGCAGAAAAGGACACATATCATGCCTTTACTTTGTAGAGCAATCTCGATATTTTGTATGTACTTATTGCTCTGAGTTCATCTCCCTTTCCCACCTGTACTTACACTGTCTTTTTTCTGAGCCTTGTTATTATTTCTATTGAGCAATCTTCAGCCGAACTGGGAGATCTCACAGTGACTCACTTACTTGAACATTATTGCCTAGTTCTTTACACAAGACAGATTGGATATGAATGAGATCTCTTGTCCTCATGAGCATTATATTTATTTCACAAGACATTTTCTTCAGAACTCTCCCTGCAATAAATTATGTGGTATATTTATTTCTTTTCTTCTACCATGCTATAGCTCTGTCCCTTTTTTTGTTGTTTCTCATTTTTCAGACACTTCTTCTTCTATGATCTGCTGTTGTTGTTTTCTGTTTTTTTCTTCTCACAATCTCTTAGCTGTATCCTTGGAATTTTTTTTTCCCTTGTGCATTTTTTAGCACAGTGCATGTATTCGATGTACTCAAAATGAGAGCTTGAGATAAGTATTTAAAGTAACAAAATGATTTCCCTCTCTTATCTTTCAGATGCTGTGTAATGACGAGGAAAAAAAATAAAAGCAGGTGAAGTGTTTTAAATTAGGTATATAACTGTAAGGAACACAATCGTACGCATCATTTTCTGATCTTCATAATGTCAGCTAAATGAAAGATTTTGGAGGTGCTTTGCTTCTAAAGAAATACCCAGATGGATTTTAGCAGCTGCATTTGGGGAGAGCCCAGTGTAACCCAAGTAAAGGTGAGTATATTCAGGGTGGATGGAATGGGGCACAGAGGTAGCACGTGTCCGTGGTATTTACAGGGGTCCCATCTGAGGTCTCAATGTACATCACCATGGTCCCTTCTGCTTCCCAACCCTCCTGCCTGACCTGTCCACCCCTCTCAACCTTTTCACTGCCCCATTGCTTGGTGGAGGTGTGTTGGAAGTCTGCACTTTGCTCAGTTGTGGCCTTTCTGAGGGTCAGTGCTGGAGAGAATGACGGTTTGAACAAAAACTGAAATGTATATGATCCGGTGGGTGGTTTTGAAATCCAGGTACCGACTGGAATTTCAATATTGCTGAACCATGTTTAGCTACTGAGGATGAGTTTTTCACTTCAAGGCTACTTTACCGTCTTATGTCTGAAACTAGAATTAAACTCCTTTACCTGGAGTGCAGTCCCACACTAGGACAAGTCATTCAGGCAGTGGTGGAATTCCTCTCCTTGGAAACTGTCAGGGCTCACCTACACAAAAGCATCCCCGGTCTGATCTGGTGTCGATATTAATGAAGCTCCAAGAAGAAGGAGGCTGGCCTAGAAAGCTCCAGAGGTCACTGTCAAATGTTTGGGGTTTTTTTTTTTTTTTTCCCTATGATCTTACAGTTCTGGTAAGTGTGTTACAGTAAAATAACCAGATGGACTTTTTTTGGAAGTATAGAACAGATACCCTGAGGGCAGCAAACAGTATGTGGAGAAGATGCCATGGGTGGGGGTGGGGAGAAAGACACTTATTTCCATTTATGAGTTATAGAACCAGGACTCCTACAAGGAGTTGAGAAATTTGTCTTGATCTGGAGATGAGAAAAAAAACCACTTCTTATCTTTTTGCACTAAGGCTGCCTGGCTTGTGATCCTCACCCTGTCTCGAGAAGGGTGTGCAGTGTTTTGAACGTTGGGGTCGGGCTGGTTCCTGCTCTGTCTCATCAGTCTGGTGCCCATATCTTTGCAGAAGGGATTAAATGTGCCTTGTGGTTATATTAAAGGGCAGAGAGGAGGCGAGGAGCCTGAGAATGGGGTGTCTGCTGCTGGGGGAGAGGGAGGGAAGGGCAGCCAAAGCTCACTGCTGTCCCCAAGGCTGATGCAGGGAGCTCTGTGGTGAGACCTGAGCCTTGCTTCCCCTGTGCACAGGGCCAGATCTGCAGGAGAGGGGTGCAGGGGTAGTTTTGGACAGGGTGAGATGGACTGACTGTGTGCCCAGGATCCCCACCATGGGTCTGTTTGGCAGCCAGGGTTCTGAGCTAAGGACACCCAACCCTGAGATGTGTTGTGTGAAAGCCTAATCTCACCCTTGGGATGAGCCAGTGTCTTTTCTTCCCTTTTCTGTACACATTCCTCTTGCTAGGTCAGCCAAAACCTTCTGCTGTCACTAAAACTGATGGGTTTTTTTGTGTAAAACGAGATTTTTTGCACTCATCAAGGCCAGCTCTGGCTGCTCTGCCAGTAGATGTCCCTGCACGCTTGGCTGCAGTGGATGTGCTGTGCCTTTTCCTGGGAAAACTGACTTCCAGCACGCTGAACTTCACAAAATTCCTGTTGGGTATTTGTTCATATGGATTTTAATTTTTCTTCCTCTCATTTGGGCTTCTGGTTTAAAATTTAATCAATCTCCACAAATATAAAAGCTGAAATTAAAAAGAAAGATCATTATTTTATTGCAAAGCAGCCTTTTCACAACCTTTAAATGTTTTTGTGTTTATTTATCAAACAGAGCACTGACAACAGACAAAGTCCCTGAACCATTTTACCCTGCTCTGTCCTTCACTCCTGCTCTGCACCACTCATTCAAATAACTTCCACATTTTTTCCCTTCCTTGGACTGCAGCATTTTTTTTGAAGCAGACATTGCTTTGGTGCACTGACTTGAACAAAACAAGACAAAATGAAACCAAATAATGCTGAGCACCAGGTACTCACTGCTTGGTAGGAGTCACTTGGCAATTTTACAGATGCTGAGAGTCTCAACCTTCAGCCTGCAAGGTTTTTCCTGTAATATGAGAATTTATCAGCTGGCTTTCAGAGCCACATAGGTGAGTTTTAAGTGTTTTCCGCAGCGCTCTGTGCTCTGTATTATAATCCTGCAATTACATATTTGCATGCCCGCTGAATTAGCGCTGGAAAGTTATCTTCAAAAGTGCAAAGCCTTTCGCTGCTGCTCTTCCTGGGAATGCAGGGGTGATAATTGTTACGGAGGAGAATTACCTTTGCACGCTATTGATTTTGTGCCCTGCTGCCTGTCATCGTTCCTGGGTGGGTTTTTCCAGGCTCAGGACAGGGAGCAGCTGCGACTCATGGGGGGCACCAGTGACCCACCCCGACATCCTTTCCTTCCACCTTTGAAGCTAAAGGCTTCAAAAAGCTGGGAGCCACAGCCTTGGAGTGGGGAACAGCTCAATGGATTGGTGGAATAGAAGTATTTATTGATTTAAGAGCAGTCTTTTCTTTTGCCTCGCTTTTGTCTTCTAAGGGAACTTTCTTTTAAATTTATGTCCCACATTGTCACATCAGGAGGAAAATACATGAGAAATGTTTTGTTATTTCAAATTTATCACCTATTACGTCAGCTGGCATTGTGGACTCACAATATGTAATGCTTCATAAATTATGAAAAATAAATGTTTTATGGGCATGCTACACACTCTGTTTGAAAACCGTTGAGCTGGGGAGACTCGGTGACCCCCGTACAAATTAATGTGCACATGATTTTCATTATTGCAGCTCAGATAGGAAGTTTGAGCATCTTTATATATTTATTTAAAGGAAAACGAGGACAGAAGTTGCTTGAATACAGTTAGTCTTTTCTGGCAAGAAGCAGGTATCGTTTAACCCAGCTCATAACCTATTGCTTCCCTCACAGTCATTGTTATTCCAGGCCAAAGCTTAAACTCAAAATCAGAGCTGCGAGGACTTAGCGTGAGCTTCCAGAGGTCAAACCCTGCAGTCTTTAGCCAGGCAAACTAAACCTCGGAGCCGGTAGGATTTTGTCTGCGCAGGGACTGCGGCGTTTGCAGAGCACGAGCCAGGCTCCTGCAGAAGCCAAGGCAGGGAAGGAAGGATATTCCTGCCCAGAATTCCAGCCCTGCCTGCCCTGAGCATGATGGAGAGCCACAATCAAATCAGAGCCGCCCATCCCAGCTGTCAAGGGCCTCGCCAGGAAGGGAATTTTGACCTGAGGGTACGGGGGATCTCAGCATCCTTACGGAACACGGCATCCTCCAGCACGGAACCGCCGGAATCCGAGGGGAACGTCCTCACCCGCCTGCATGGGGAAGTTGTCATCCCATTTTCTGAGGAGCAGAAGTTCTCTCCACCTCATCCCATTTTCTGAGGAGCAGAAATTCTCTCCACCTCATCCCATTTTCTGAGGAGCAGAAGTTCTCTCCACCATGTGTTGCATGGGAGGCGCGTCTTTGTGGGGAGAGGGCACGGTGACGGTACCAGCAACCATGAAGCACTCACGGTATTTTTTTTTACACAGATTTTTTTTTTCTCCCCTCTCCTCGCACCCAAATATTTCTGGTTTTTTGCAGAGAGGGGGGTCAGGTGTTGAAGGTCTCCCCTGGATGGTTTTTACACTGCTGTGTTTCTAATAAAGCCATCAAGAGCGCTACCAGGAGTGCCCTGCGTGGTTTTGAGCAATATAAGTCACTGCTTCAGAGGACTCTCTTAACTTGGGGCTGGATGCACTCAAAAATCATCCAAGTTATTCTCTCCTAATTCAAGTCAGCTGAGGCATCAAAATGTCGGGCAGATGGACAGGATCTGCAGCCAGCCTGTTTTCTGCTGTTACTCACATTGCAGTCAAAACTTACGAGACTTTTATTGTAATTGTTTTTTATTTAATCAGTGGTATTTTGAGAATTTAACCTTTATGTAAGCATACTAAAGGAGATTCCTGTGTGCTTTCTAGTGTAAGAGATTGTGCTCTAAGGATCCTAACTTACCCTAAACTGCATTAAACGGTGTACTTATCTTAAAATCGTTGTTTTTCTTTTTTCCTTTCCTTTTCTTTCTCCTCATATGTCTGTAAAGAATAACTGAATTTATAGACAGTGGTTAAGGACAGTCACTATCACAGTTGCTTGGTCAAGAAAGCAAAATTATTTGTATTTGTTGTATTTTCTCGGACTTATTAACTTCAATTGTGCTCCGTGTTAGGGAGACGCGAGAGAACAGATAAATAAGCAAAGTACGACCCAAGTTCATACTTTCTCTTTTATTTTTGCTGTGGCTTTTGCAGTCGAGGAGAGCCTCTGCCTCTCTCCTCCAGTGGATGGCAGTTGAGTACCACGGAACGGAGCAGAGCTGACTTGCACCTCATTGTAACTCTCTCAAGGAGGCAACCGCTGATTGGAATTAGCTGTGCTTTGCCTGTGCGAAATATCGCTCAGAAATACCTGAAGAATTGGAAAAGGAAGAAATGGAAGGCTTTTCAATTTAAACTGCTTTGTTAGCAGAGCAGGAGCTGATCTAAAAGTTTGCTTCAGCAGCTGGGGGTGGGGGGAAAAGAGTCTCATATCCATACACAAGTTTTCAAGTGTTCCTTTTTATATGTTAATCTGAATTTTCAGTACATGGATGCTAATGAAGAAAAGTTCCTGATTTTCATTTTGTTTCCTGACCTCCACAGTCTTTATGTTTTAATACTATACTCATAAATTCAGCGCGAAGAGTAATTTTTAAAGGCAAATTTTCCTGTCTTGAAGTCTCATCTGTACCAGAAAGAATAGGACAATTCCCAGGGACTGGGGTTGTGATGTGAATTTAATCATCATTGAAACTGTGACTAGTTTTTGAAATGTTCCCCTAAAAGAAAAGTTTAAAACAAACGTTCCAATCAGAAACAGAAACCTCACCATGTTCCTCTTAAAAACGGGTCTCCTCCAACTCCTCCAGTTTATAGCACATACCCTTGGGCTATTACAGTCTAGAAAAATCTGAAATAAAACCACACTGTTTTCTGGGTCTGATCATGCATCACTCGCTCAAAAAGAAGTTTAGGGCCTCCTGAGAAATACAAGGTTTAGGCCTTTCTGACACATGTTGCTTCTTTTTAAAGAAAACAGTCTAGTGCGTCTTTATGGCAAATACATCACTTTAGTTTTATGCCCTCTATAAGGAATCACAGATGGATTGAAACAGAAAGCTTAAAAAAATATTTGCAACTCCAGTTGCATATAAATAATTTTGTGGGTCAGCATCCTAGTTGTTTTTAACATTAGTAGTTATTTACTTTTCAAATTTTATTTGCTTCTACCTCTAGTCTCATGCTGTTTTACTATAAGATCAGACACAAACAACTGCTTACACTAAAAATTAAGTTTCTGTAAGTAACTGTTTTAAAATGCTTACTTTTGTGTTTACTGCTGAAGGATCTCAAGCACTCCTGCCAGAAAGGAAAGTCTCTATTATCTCCCTTTTACAGATGAGGAAACTGAGACACTGTGAAATTAAAAGCTTGGGGAAATTAGTACACAGTAAATCACGGTGTGAATTTACTGTGTACCATCCGCCCTGCACGAACTCATCATGTGGACTGGCAAAGCAAAAGGATTAAACTCCCTTAAATTATCTCACATTTGCCATGGACAGACAGTGGCCATGGATCAGCTGACAGGCAGCAAGTTCTGAACCCACAGAGAGCCACTCATGTGGTGAATCTCCCATCAGAGAGGAGCCACTCAGCTGGTTCACCTAAAAATCACAGAAGGAAATCTCTGGCAGGACTCAGACCTGAGTGAAAGCCGCAGTGAAAGCAGAGGCTGAGAGTTAAAATATCAGGAGGAGATAAACTTTGTCCCTTTTAAGGGTGGAGCATCTGCAGGATGTGTCCAGGCAGTGTATGGGTTAAACTGGGAATTCGAGTGGTGGAATTAGAAGATGAGTCCTGGAGTTTAAGAACCACCCTCATATCTCAGGGGTTTTTGGCATTGAAGATGTTTCCAGTGTCATGGCAACACCCGTTAGCCCAGCCTGTTATGGAATTCCACACGGAATCTGTGCGTCCTGGGAATCCCATCAGACACCTCTCCCCAGCCCACAGCCAGGTTGGGTCGGTGCCTGTGTGCCCAGGGCACCCTGCGAGTTCCCCTCCATCTCACAGTGCCACTTGTGGGCACCAGAGCCCCTGGGCATGGCCACTGCAGCCCTGGTCACTGCTGGCCAGTCCCACAGTGACCCCTGGGCTTTGGGGCCACCACTGAGGATGCAGAGTGACCTCCTCACCCTGCAGCAGGCTGGGCATGATGTTGAAATGGCTTTGGCAGGAGCCCTCCCCATTGTGTGTGATCCAGGCTGGAGAGAGGAGCACATAGGGAGCTGGGACAAAGGTTGGCTGGTGGGAAGAGAATCCCTGACAAGTCCCTTCCACTAATAAACAAAGGCATAAATGATGGTGCTGCAAAGAAAAAAGCAAGATTCTCTGGAGAAAACTGTGGACAGACCTAGTAAGGAGCAGAGATGTTTAGACAACAGTTTTACATTATAGCACTTGGTAAGAAATGTTCTATTTTAGCTCCAAGCTTGAGTCTAGTTAGAGCTGCACCAGTGCTCGGGAAACAGAATGTATCTGAATGCCCTGCGAATGGGAATAACTGATAACTACTGCATTTAAATGTGAAAAGCAGAACTTTTCTCCGAGGGAGGTGTTATTTTTTTTTGTTGTTGTTGTTATGGATTTTGTCTTCATAGTTTACATTGCAGCTATAGCATTCCACTGGCAGGCATTTATCTAATGACTTATATCTTTCAGCCTGTGTAAAATGCAGGATAACAGAGAGAGAGAAAAAGTGGTGGTAAGTTCTTTTTAATTTGCATTTCAGGGCTGAACTTTGGAGCACAAATGCACAGAAGTTAGCCCCTCCCTCATAATCTTATTTCCAGAGAGCTACAATATGAAAACAATGGGATTAGGGCACTATTTGCTACAATCCCTCTCACCCCAAAGTATGTCTAAATAGAGGTGGATTTTTTTTTTTTTTTTTTTTTTTGTTTGCCTTGGCACTGGAGTTCATCTGGGGGTTGGTGAGTGCATGTGGGGTGGGAGCAAGGTCTGTGGGACCTGTTTCACTCAAGACCCACCTGTAAGGACAGGAAAGTGGAAGCAAGGGATGTGTGAGAGGAGGATTTTTTGAGAGATGGTCCCTGGTTTGAGGACAACAGTGTTTGGAAATCCTGCTGTCTGGTGCTGTGAGGACCTTCTCCATCAGTGCACCATCCAGAAACACTTGTTCTCAGAAACTTCCACACCAAAATCATGGGAAATATTTGAACTTTAGGTGACTCCAGACTTCAGTTGCAGTTTAGTAGGATTTTAAGGCTGGCACTTTATATATATATATATATATATATGACATATATAAATACACATTCACGTGCAAAATATATATGTGTGTGTGTCTGTGTATTTATATATATACCTCAGGTTGTTTTGATTCTGTCAAGTAAATTCAGTAGCTCTTCTTTAAGGTAGAACTGGCAGAGACTCTCGTGCAGGGAGAAATTTGATGGAGCCGTGTTAAGCATCGGGGAATTTGCATCAGAGTTTCTTCCAATGTTTCATCCGAGGCCAGCTTGTCGCTAACCTGAATATTTGAATCGAAGTCATGCTGGTTTCACATGTCAGGCTACCCTGGCACTGCGTGAAAGTGGTGGGAGGAGAGACTGGATGGGGGGAATGAGCAAGCAGGGAAGGATTTGGTTATCAAAGCAGAGGGCTTAGATTCGATGGTAATCGACAGGAGGAGATTACTTGGGCTCGTGGTTCAGACAAGGGCTCCATCCCAGCTCACTGGGCCACCCCCTCGCACAAACAGGACCTCCAAGAGCATTGCCAGCTTCATTCAGGGCTGAGGAGATGGTGCAAAGCCTTTGCTGCTGGCCCAGGGAAACAACAGCTTCGCTAAAGCCCGACTCTCAAGAATATTAATAAAAATAAATGATTTTACCCTTTCTGCTCCTGCTTATAGCAGGCTGCTAATAATGCCTTATGAGGCTGCCACACAGTTCAATCAATAGTTTGATTTTTCTGCCCTAGAGCTGCCACAAGCGCGAACCCCAGGCTGAAGTGGCTGAGTAAGGAGCTGGCCAGAGACAGAGAGAGACAACAAAGGGGAAATGCGGGATGTGGCACCTCGTGACTTCTGGGAAACTTGGGGATGGACCATTCCTGCTGAGCCCCATCCACTGCCACATCCCACAGATGCTCCTTGGTGCCAGGGCTGGTTATTTATATATTTCTGTGTCGCCTATGGAAACATTCGGGTTTGACAGAGGGGGGAAAAAGCAATTCGGCGTCCTTTGACTGAGGAAGGTTGATTTTCATTCGAGACAGAATGGCTCATTTTTACCTTTTTAGCTCCTGGAAGAGTAAAAAGTGAGAGGTCAAACCTGCATCACCATGACAACCCCTGCAGCGAGGGTTTTTGAGCAGATGAAGGGGAGTGATAATGGAGCTGAAGTTTCTGCCCGTTCACAGTCGCTGGGCTTTTTGTTTTGTTTCCCCTTGTTCCTTTAGGCCTTGTAAGGTGTGGCCCCGTGGATTTTTCTGCCCTGTTTGAGACCAGCCCTTGGGTGCTGCAGTGCCTGGACACACGTGGAGCGTGTATAAACCACATAAAAAAAAGGGGTTTGTAAGAGATACTCACAAGATCAAACATCCCCTYGGATGCATTCCCCACACTCCTGTAGCTACAAGAGCAGCTGCATCACCTGGGCTGCATCAAAGAGAGCTCTCACCTCTGGATTCCTGACAGCACCTTTGGAGTCTGAAAATAAGCAAAGGAGAAATTCTCTGGGGTGGGGAGGCTTTGTACAAAAGGAGAAATTGCGAGTGGGGTGTGGGGGGTCTAAGGAGATTCACTCAGGAGGGGCTGCAGGTGGGAGCTTATTTCAGTTTCTGATTTGTGGCCCCATTTCCTACCCCTGCACGAGGGGCGATGTGGAGGAGCAGACTGCAGATAGCTGAGGGTCTGATAGCAGCTAAAGGGCAAAACCAAGCCAAAGGGAAATCCCACAAACGATCCCCCAGGTTCCCTTTGCCTAAAAACTGATCCTGCTCCAGGGAAAAGCAAGTAAAACAGCAGATTTATCATTTTTGGAACACCTTTGGTTATTGTAGGTACCTACTAAATCTGGTGTTTTCCTAAGGTTTCTGTATTCTCAGACTGCAATATGCCTCTTTTGATGTGAAAACATAGCCCCCGTGAAGGGTCATCCCAAAACCCCATCTAGAGCTTCCAGATATTTGAATATTATGCCTCTTCAGAAGTTACGAATCATCTTTTTTTTTAACCTTGTTGTGGTCGCAACAAAAAATGAAACTGAATAAGAAATATTAACTCAGATAATAGAGTGTCAGAAAAGTTAATTTTGTGGGAAGATTTTGCCCGAGTCAGGCTTTAGTAGGATCTATACAGAAAGTTACATGGAGAAGAGGAATAGCCAGGGTTAACACTAAAAAAAGTTTTGAATGGCTATAAAACCTCGAGTTGAAGCAATTCTCTGTGCCCAGAGGATTAGGTTAAAGCTTTTGCAGTGCTGCAGAGATGAATTATTCCATTTTTGCCTAGTGAGTGGTTTCTCATATCTCCTTCCAAAGTGGTGGACGTGTCCCTCATGTCAGGATGGAGTTACACAGCCCACC